CAGCTTTACAACAATTGTCATGTCATGAGTGATAAATATTTTTTGACTACTAAAAAAATATCACTAAAATAAACATAAATCTATTAATTTACTGTTATAGAAACAAAGACTCACTCTTTGATAAAAACTTGAGCATTTGACAATTTATTGGAAGTCATTAAGGCTTAAAATGTATACCTAGAAATATTAACCAGTTGATAGTTCAAAAAATCGGTATTCAAAATTGTTTTTATTAGGATTTAATGAAATGATTGCATTGGATATGATAATAATATGAAATGCGAATTTCGACTAAAATAAATAAATAAATAAATAATTTCCTTTGTTTTATGAATAATGTGTAATTTAAATTTTAAGAGAAATAAGAATGTCAAGAGACTTAAAATCTTAATAAAAGGTTTATTTTAACTCAAATGTATTTCATATATTTCAAATATCTCAAAAACCTTGAATAATAATAATTTCATTATAAATGTTTTGAATTGGAACTTTGGAAATTAAATTTTAAAATTGTCCAACAATCTCATCTTAGATCATTTTATAGAAATGTTTAGTTTTGCGCATTACAAGACGTCTTATAACTTATTCATTTTTCAAGTGAGAATGTACTCCAAATTAATAAAAATAATACTATCTTGTGCCAACTACCATGAACTAATTCATTGACATTGTACATCTGTTTATTTAAATAACATTTGAAATTCAATTAAAACGAACGAATTGTTGCAATTAAACAGTGAAAAAATATACTTGGTGCGTTTTAATTATTTTATGATTAAACTTCTTGATTATGATTATGTACACAATATTATCTTATAATAGGTACCTTTAAAATATTTAACTGTCGTCTGTCAGGGAATACGAATATTTTACCGATATTAAATTTTTTGAGACTTTGTACTATTCTACAAACTAACAATATGGACTAAAAGTGTCAAAAATGTCAAAACCCTGAACCAATATATACATAGCCACGTGGGTATTATGTATTGGGGATGATTATTATTAAAGTTTAGCCAAGAACATTCTGGGTTATATATTATATTCTTTAATATAACTTAAAAATAAAACCATGTATTTTATCGTATATTTTCTTTATTAAGTTTTTGATGTTTGTGTCTACAGTCTCGTTAGTTGTTCATAACTTACAATATTAATCGAAACTAAACAAGATATATATTATAATTGAATCAAATAAAAAAGAGGCAATTTGAAAATATGAAAAAATAATTAAATACCTACTACGAATAAATTGATAAATCCAATTTAGGGTTTTCTGATGTTTTATATTTATTATTATAATATTATTACTACCCAACAACGTTATACGCGTATTACATCGAAGAGCAATTTATTTAATTTTACTTTTTTTTAAATTAGTCACACAAAAATTGTATTTAGGAAAATGTGCAAATTATTTTGTAGCTAAAACTAAAAAAAAAAAATAGGGGGAAGAAGGTAGCATCACTGCTGTACAGTAGCTGTCGAGTGTATCTCGTTGTTGAAGAGTAAGTCACTGTAATAAATGTGTTAAATTTAAATTAAATAATAAAATATTGCTTACAAAAAACGATTCTAAGCGAAGATGGTTTTTCACCCTATATTACTACCTAATTATATTGTAAGATTTATTTTTTTTCAACTATAGGTATAGAATAAGTTGAATTAAATTTTACGAAATCGTTGAGTTTGGAAACGTCATTGCGAGTAAAAAATTTAATAATATACGTTAAAAGTTTCCACGAATAATATCATTAAATTATAACAAAAAAAAACTAAAATCTTTATTTTCTGTTGAAATAGATTTAATTTAATTTAATTCAAATAAATTGCGCCCAGATTGAACTTAAAATGTCTATAAAAAAAAAAAACAAGTTAAAAAATCTCACTCAACGAGCATGCTTAATTCTCGGTTTCTATACGTATTTTGATGCAACGCAATAAAGTATAATAAATTCCAAACACAATTTAAACAGAATTTGGTAACTAATATTTTGGCTAGACGAATCTATATTAAATACTAATACAATAAGAAATTATCATAATATCAATCAACAGTAACTAAAGACAATACATTTATATCTCAATGTCAACAACCATAACCATTTACTGGTTGTGTCCGTATTAACTTACGGACACAACGGTGTTCTAACATAAGGTCTTTATAAGGTGCTCTAAACTTATGTATAGAAACATAAATATACTTTTAAAATTTTTTGGTGACACGATAAACTTTTGAGAAACCTAATATAAGATATATTTTGAAGCAATACATCTAAAAAATTTAACGTTTCATTCATTTTTAACTAAAAAATAATTTATAAACGCTCGTAAGTTTGTCAAAATTTGTTAACAGTTGTAGAGGTATTATTAAATTTACAAACTTTCTAACCGAGAGAATTTTTTTCCTGGTTATTTTTAAAAGCACTAGACATTTTTTACTTTTGACATAACCTCCCACATACAATGATTTATCATTGAGTTCAAATTTAACACATCTCTATTTAGGTCAATGACCTTCTCAATGTCTCAATGACGATGTATACTCGTCAACTACTACAGCACCTTTACAACCTATACAGCAGAGCGACTCATCTGGTTCTTTTTATTTTTCTTTGTGTCTGTCGAGTGACAACACTTTAATCTGCAGAAAAATTGCTTCAAACTTCTACATTGAAAGAGGTTTCTGGTAGAAAATTTCATCTAATTGGTACTTAAATGCCAAAAGTTGGAAATTCCCAATTGGAAATACTAACAAAAAACTAAGGGTATACATAAATAATAAATATGTATGCTACATCACTGAATCAGCTTTGAAAAAATCAATTCCGTTGTTTGCTGTAATTCAAAAAGGAATAAAACCTTATAGACTTGACATTTTCACCAAATATTTTTTTATTTTTTTATTTATGTTTTAAACATTTCGTTTCTCGGTCAAAAACTCGAAAGTTAAATGCAAGTTTCCACAAAAGTTATTTTTGTAGCAGTTATGAAATAATAAAAATACAATGTCACAAATTTTGTTTATAAGCGTTTTAACTTTTAAATTTAAATTTGACGAAATTCTTTAAAATCACTAAAATTTGAAAATTGTTTTGTAGTTAAATATTCATCAAATTTTAATTTCTAATACCAAATATTAGAAAATGTAATTCAATGTTACTCAAAAGTTGTTGTTACACTAATTTAAAATATCAAAAATATCCAAACATAATCTTCTATATAGACCGTTAGAGTTAAAAATAAAGACTTTTATCTAATAATTTTCGTAATTTTATTGCAATTCAAAAAATGCTATGTGTGGAGATTTGAACCTTTTCTGTTGCGTATATTATTGTTTTAACAAATATTTTATTTTCATTTTTTAAATTTTAATCGATTTATACCACTACTTTTTAACTTATCCACGGGCTTTTTGGATCAATAACTGTTAATATATAGGTTTTAAAAGTGCGAGAAAAATATTTGTGATACATACAGGCCTGCGAAGGGAGCAATTTTAAACCGCTGATGAGTTCTGCTTCCACTCCCGCTATTGAAACTTTAAATATTATTGATTAAAATATTTGTCTAATATTTTATATCTACTTAAACTTTAACAGTTTAAAATAAATGTTTTCCTCCGTTGTCCGTGTCCCTGGCGTGAGAGCAAAACCAAGATATTGCCATTAAAAAGTTTAAGACCTCAAGGCATCATCAAATATGTACTAAAAATAGGAAAAACATAAATTGAGTAAATTATGAAAATAATTCATTTTTACGTATATTATTATTTGAATGCTTTAATATAGATTCATATTTTTCATTTCCATACAGTTAACACACCGGATATGCGGGATATGGGACATTATATTGCGGGCGTTTTCGGGATATAAATTAGTACAATCATATTTTATTTTTCATATTGTAACCCTATAGAAGACGAACAACTGTAGGTGACCATACAAATAATTACAATAATGTGAATAATGTACCTACCATTGTAAAAAGTAAAATATTTCCAGCCATAAAACGATCGTTATTTATGTCGTTTTCAACAACGGTTTGTCTTCAACCATTCGTAAATCGTAATACCTAATAATTCATGTCGTATATATGTATCTAAATTTACGATTTCGTGACATGACATGTGCCGGATAATTGATTTGACACGAACGACTAGACCAACAGCGTGCGTATAATAACTATCAATAAACATTTTAATGTTTTCTTCTTAGAGCTTCGAATGCAGCATATTCCCAACCTTTTATGAACGTGATCCAAACATTTTAACTTTAACTTTGAACCAAAAAAATCATACTCGGAAACACAATTTTTATTTATTAACATCAAAATTATAAATACATAATATGTTTATCTATTCTCAAATACCCAAATAAAACAAATGTATACAAATGTACGATGATACGACATAAGGACGCACTGAGATGTGCCTCTTAATTTATATTTTAACTTATTTAAAATTATTTTCTTCCTCGATCATTTTACTATTAGAATATTTAGGGAATTATTGTTCTTGAAAATATTGTAATATGTAAGTAAAGTAAATGCTTTTTTAAACCCACTACAAAAACCTCTGAGATCCTAATTTGGGTCACGACCTGAGGTTGGGAACCGCTGGCTTAGAGTATTTAGTAAAACCGATAATAGTTACAGAATGTTTACTGAACGAAAAATCAAAACAATTTTATTTGGTGACGAAAACAATTTTCGAGGTCCTTATATTCGATTTCCTAAGCATTTGGCTGTCGGTTAATTATAATATGTAATCTTTGCTCTAAATATTGAAGTGCGAGAGAGCACATGCGATATTTTGTACTAAACGGCTAAAGCCAAATTATATAGCAGATCGAAACTATACATTAACACGTTTACTTACAAATAATAACTAAAGAGGTTGTAAAAATTTTACATTTTACGTATAGGTATACTACTTACATTTTTACATACATTATACATATCTTATAATTACAGTTTTTTAATTTTTTTATTTCTTTTAGGAAACAAGTTTGTCAAGGACTTTTAGATTGTTTCGCACTCTGGGACTGCGGCACATTGTTGTTATCAACAACACTAACGAGGTATGACGAAAATAATAATATGTTAAATATATCGCAGTATACAATTTTTTTTTTATTATTATGTCGTGATGTTCACGTCTATTATTATCTGAAGTAGTGATCAAATTTTTATTTTTTTGCGTCTTGGCCTTATTCCGCCCAAATTGGATTATAACTATTATTCACAAAGAGTTATGTTCTACATATATATACATGAAAGCTAAATGCTTCTATATTATTATTATCAGTTTGTTCGTTAATTATTCATTCAAAGAGCTTGTTTCACTTTTCTAAACTTTTGTCTTTGTTCATCTAGCATAAAAGCTCGAATGATTAAATGAATTAGTTTTGTTTTCAACATTTAATTTAGTTAAGTAGATGTGTTAATGTCCCTTTAGACAAAATACTTGATGTTATTTCTCTCTCGATTTTATGGTGGTTTTGTTTTAGTGATATTTTTATTAAAACCCCTAATGAGTATGTACCTTGGCACTCCTTACAATAATCTTGCGTCCCTAGACTTCTGCACAGTCTAGTTAACTTTTTCTCTTTACCATTAATCAACTCTCGAATAATTTACTAGTTGAGTAATATTTACCTTCATCCTAAGTCCTTAAGTGATTAAGGAACTAAAATATTAATTCCAAAAATACTTTTCGAAGTAAAAACAAATTATATAATTCAATTTTGGTTGTTTTTTTTACGTAAGATATTAATATATATCAAAGAGATTGGATAATAAACATTTAAAAATCAAATTAATTTAATTTGTTCTCGTTAAACGTTACATATTATAGTATCAATCATCGAACAACATAGATAATGTATATAATATATTTATATATTATTAGCCCTTATTGTTTAACCTACCCTTGTAGTCCCAATAGTGTTGACTTGTATTATATGCATATAATAATACATGTGCGTTAAAATTTCAAACTCGCCGATATTATAGGTGCACTCGAGAGTCGAGACCCAAGAACAGCGTAAATAAATATACATTGACTAAAACAAAACATTACCTAAATCATAATTCTGTAGCTGTATACGTAATAGCTATAATGAATAGTGTGTATAATGCTCAGTGTGTGATTCAGCAGGATGGCATAAGGCACTTATCCGGGAAATAAAACTCCTGCACACTGCGTATATTAGTCAAAACTTTCCAGAACGGTTTACATCCAGGCAATTGACGCGAACGGCAATTAAAAAAAATACTGCCAACAGAAATTAACATATTATTATTAATATAACTTTCTCGGCTAACAATTACTGAAAACGGCTTGGCACGGTACAGGTATAGATCCCGTCTGCTCTTTGGACAAAAACTTGTGCACATTCGACGACTGCCACTACTATACAACGAGTCGTACGCCCTTTATTCTAAACGGAAAACCCAACTCGAAACACACCTCGCCGTTAAGTGCGTTACGTAATAATTTGTTAAGTTCACTTTTGCAAATTATTTACCGTGAAAATAATTATGAATTATTGTTCGTGGCGTTGCGACGGTTCGTATAAAAACATGACGTGGTTGCAGGTAGATTAAAACCACGTATAATACGCATTATACATATTATTATTTATACAACCTACCTACCTACGAGGAGGGTGTGTTTGCCGCCGCCGCTGTCGCCGCGACGAACTACATTCGGTCGTCCGCGCAGTTTGCGATAAGCGCTTAAGACGTCAACGTCGTCCTGGAGCTAGTTAAGTATTTAGCAAGCTGGCCCCTATATGCATTAATAATGCGTTGCCGTATCAAAGTGAACTTTTACTGTCGATTAGGCATAATTTTGTTTCAATTAAACGCCCGTGGCTGGTTAATACGTTTTTTGTTCCCAGCACACTTCCCGGATATCCCGCAGACCTATCCTAAAATAGTGCAAAAAAAAAATCATCTATAATCACCAGAAAAAAATTATTTTTTTGTCAGTTTGTAGACACCATACTTACGATAGTTTTGAGCACACTACAAGTTATTTGGATTAACGCCGAAACCAAAAATAAATGTAAGAAAACCATTGCATCAGTATCCTCGTTGTACCTAAATATTTCAGGTATTTGGATTCCAATACCAAATGAAGTTTGGCTGATTTGAAGTTTCTGTGGACTTGACCTACAATCTGTTTTAATATGTAGGGATACTAATAAAGTGCATTTTAACGAGTATTTAGGAAATATTTAAAATTTCAGCTGCCCAAACCATTAGACTATGTTGTCTATATTTTCGACACCGTAGACTAGATACAATTCATAAAATAAACAATTTGGGAATCGATAAATATTTTTAAAAGTCCATAAATAATGAACTGAATTACCAAAAATCAATAAAATATAAATTGTATTTTTTTTTTTTTTAGGTGGTCGGTATCGTAACTCGAAAGGATTTGGCGAAATTTCGACTTTGGAGAAAAGCTGCCACAATGGGACTGAAAGAGGTCAATGTGTATTAAAATAATACAATATATTGTTACGTACATAATATTATTTATGGACAAATCATAATGGTAATAAAAATAAAATGTATACTCGTAACTTACGTTTGCACTTAAGACGTACGTTTTCGAATTTATGAAAGGATGTCACTGGACTCCTCCTTTTACACATCTTCGTGTGTGTTTAAATTTCGATGATCCATTTTCTCGTTGTGCAGTATGTACAAATATATTGTAAATAAAAAAATAGCCATATCATGTCTAAAATATTATTTTAGAACACTGACTTGTACAGCTGTGCACATATTAGGTGTGTTTGTTTGTTAACATTTGAATAGCCCACTTATTACATACCTATTCAATGATTAAATTAAAATTATATTTGTACAATCATTTGTTTTGCGTCTTTGATGGATTTTAAAACGTTACATTGAAATACGATTACTCTACATTTGACAGGCTTTGTTGTAAAATGCAAGTAGGTATAGTTCACTAATTGTGCAGTAGGAATTATAAAATATACACTTATAAAGTATTAAAAATAGCTTATTTTAGTTTATAACAGAGAAAAGAGATGTTATGTACTTTTAATAGCTACCTATACGACTTACAACTTGTAACTTATACGTAAACTTAGCAGCTAGTTACCTATCGTATTATCAACCATATTATAAACAATAAACATCGGCGATGGCCTTCGGTCTCCGACTCTCTATTTAATTTCTAAAAAATATAGTCATGGTGTATTAGCATTTTTTCTATTTCAATTTATTTGTGATTTCGCATCAAGAAAGATAAGTGATAACATCATCGTGAGGCTCGTCATCAGTCGATAGATAATATATTATTTTTATTCAACATTATATCGACTATCAACTATAGACTATAGTCTATTGTCTGTTATAGTAGGTATAACTCAGCCAATTTATCTGAAATCTAAGCTCATATATTATATGGCATACTTAGCTTGTAAATTAAAATAGGATAAAATAAATTGTATTTGTGCAGTCGGAAAAATCATGTTTTTGTTTATTACTCTTGATATAATTATGATGAAAAGGCGTTTTTGTCTTGTATATTATTATTTAAAACAAGGCATTAGCGCAAAAATTACCATCGTAGGAAGGTGCACGTGAAGAAAAAACAATTTCAAAAGGAAGCTGCAGGTTGTAATATTCATCTGTGAATATCCGAAGAGGGTTAGTCAAAGAATAATAAATGATAACGCAATAATATCGTAGCAGCTGCACCAGTAGGTATAGGTATAGGTATAAATATAAACGTGAAATATTTTATGTATTACGTGCTCCGTCTTTATGAAAAATGTTTATATTTAATATTGTGTCTTTTTTGTATAAACGACGTCCTTTCAAATATAATAATATAAAAATCTCGCGGTATCCGAAAAAACATACCTATATACTAAAAGATTTGTATTATTCTTGTTCTTGTTCTGTTTACACTGGATAGGTACGTTATAAAACGAATTCTCTTGAATAATAAGGGATTAATTTATTGCGTGATTTTTAAATAAAACATTTTTTTCTTAGCATAAGTGTAGATTATATACTGTAATATAATGCGGTGAAGTATAAATACAGAGTGATTCAACAAGCATTTTCACCCCCTCCCCTTGGATATTCCTTTGATGATAAAGTTATTCAAAGTAAGTAGTAATTAAGTATCAAAGTATAATATATAAAGACCACATTGTTTTCAAATTATTGTTATTTTTTCTGTGGTAATACAAATATAAGTTTTTCAAATAAGCACCCGTTTTTACAGTAAATTGTTTTGTGAATATTTTTTTCTTAAATATTGATTTATTAGATTCAGATTCAAACTAGTGGTTTCTCAGTTATTAAAATGTTTATTCTAATGAAAATTGTCCTAAAAATATAAAATATATGTACCTGATATTGGATTAAGTATTTATAATATTATAGAAACATTTTTAAAAATTATTACAAAGGTTGATAGATTAATACAAGTTACTTAAATGTTCAAATCATTTATTTAGACCCCATATTATCTTCCAAACCCATTTGGGCCCTACATATATTATACTATATTGTTAGTACTAATTTTGAATCTGCGCAGTTCACCACTTCTTAAATAGTACGCGTGAGTAATAATCTCAATAGTTTAAAAATACCGTCCTCAGGTATATTTAAAAATTCCAGAAATCAGATTTCGAATTACTGCGTTGCCGAAAAAAAGATATAAAAGGGGGCGAGCTTCGGTGAAGGGGCGAGGGGGCGAATCGCTCTGTATATAGTTCGCTGCAGGTTGGGCGTGTGCTCAAATGACGTAGCCATGTAGCGCGATATTGCATCGACAGGTCCGCCTCGTCGTCGCCAGCGACCTGTCTAGTATTTTGTATTCACAGCCTCGCCGGGTGCATCAGTCGTCCCACGGAGATTAACTAATTAAAATGCGCCGTCATATAATGGGTTATAAGGTGCAAATAACGTCTAAATTTACGCACGTCCTCTTAAACTGTTCGCGTCGAATTAAAACATCATAATATTGTTATTCATCGTCATCTTGGCCATCAGCCTTCGACTGGACAGCAGCTCTATATATAACATTATATCAAGGCGACCATTATATTTTGAACGACACGCTACATAATATTATAATAATATTATCATACTCATGTTATTTCGAATGGTGTAAAATTTTTTTGACGTTTTTTTTTAAATTTATCAATGTTTGGTAAAAAAATATAATTTTGCTTCTTAAGTTTTTTACCCGTCGTTAAATGTTTATGAATTGTGGCGTATCTGAAGCTCGGTAAGGGGAGAGAGGAGTAGAGAGTAAATTTAAAACTCTTGATACAGAGCCCCCCCACCACGCCACACATTAATCAACTTCTTGAATTTTTTTCAACAGTAATATTATTCATTTTTATTTTATTCTTATGCTAATTTGACAATAAATTGTATTATTAAAGATACAGTTATACTACGTACATAGGATAAAACCTGCGAGGCCCAACTCTCGAGGGATCAACCCATTGCCCCTCCCCCACAGATACCGCCACTGGTTCGTTGTTGAAGCTGCTCGCATATAACTATATGTACCTATATTCTATCTCTGAATTCGCAAACTGTAGCAGAATAATATATTTTTATAAATAATTATATAATATAGCGTTATGAGTTTAGATAAGACCATCATTTAGTGATAGCGAAGACCGAAGAGACAAAATTGGTTACTTATTGAAATTCGGATAGATACAGTATGAAATTCTTCGCCATTAAAAATAAAGTATTTGTTCAATATTAAATACTATTATAAAACGCATCGACATTTTTCAAAAAGTGTTTAAGTATCTATTCTGTTTCAGTATAAACGAGATTAAAAAATATATATTATATAGGTTGCCACTTGCCAGAAATCAGAATTGTGCAGCATGTGAATTTAATGATTTTGATTTTGCACAATGAAGAAGTTCAACTCAAAATTTAAGTGACACACAAATTTGATTCGATGCACATAGGTATACCATTGACATATTCTAAACACAGAAATTGTACTTTTTTGGTGTAAACGTCTTTATTTTCGAGTACATAATATAAAATACTAAACACTTAAACACACAATACTCTGCAAAAGGTGATGGATATAAGACTTCATCGACAAACGACGCCAATACGAAGAGTTTGGGGGGGGGGGGAGCAATGTAAAACATTTGAATTGGTCGGGTGATTCTATACTATTATCCTGTGCCACATTAATATTTCGAAGAAAGTTAATAATTTTCTTAATAAAGCTTGAATGTTAAAATATTAAAATCGTCGTCCCTCGCCAACGCCCAGTAGAGTAAATAAGGTTCAAAACGAGAGGTAAAAAAAAAAATCGTATTGTACAAAAGCTCCAAAATACCTGTGCAGTGCTTATTCACTTCAGCTTTTAAATTTGGAACTAATAATAACTATATAGTTATCTTTCGAAAACGCCAAACGTATAGGTAATCGACGATTTAAGATATCGAAACTAATAAACTTAAATCATGGTAAAATCACAGATTATTTTAAACTGTTTAATATAATACTGTTAAATGATAAAATAATACTGTTTAATATAATCTGTGGTAAAATCTCGATCGATAAAATATATATTATTTGATTAAACGTTGGAGCATCAGAGTTTGGAATCAGAATTTCAAAATTATCAAGCAGATATTTGTTTTGCAAATTTTTATATATCTACATCAAAATTTAAGAAAGTAATTTTTGAGTTATGTAACTTTGTGTTTTAAGGATAATATTATGTATATGGTAATGGGCTAAGTAGATAGTTGCTTAAACGATTTGAAAAATTTAGCAATTACTGTTGATTTTAAATTCATAATTATAAATAATTTATAAAAATGATCCAAATATAATTAATACTTTGACTAACATTACTTATAGTTTTTATTTTTATAAAACCATTTTTAAGGATTATTATTTATTATCATTAGTAAAAACATTTTAATAACTCAGAAACTACTCATTAGAATTTTGATTTACCTATATACATCACAACATTATCAAAAAAATTATCCTCTAAATAATTTTCGGTTAAAAAGGGGCTTGAAAATAGACATTTTTATCGCCACCGGATATCCTCAAGTAGTAGTACAAAAATCATCAGCGATTCGAAAATATGGTTCTTAGGTCAACTTAAATATTTTAAAACTCAGAATTCGAATAAAATATGTACGATTAAAAGGAAAAAGTGGAGCGAGCGTGCTCGAAAAATCACACTGTATATTCAGGTGTGTAATATAATTGTACATCGGCACTATTACGTCCAACTAGAATTTCGGTAGCAAACGATGTGTATTTTTTTTGTATCTCGGGCGCTTATTATTAGACGTCATACTATAGCCCCCCGCTCCATATTATCGTACCCCGCCCGCCCGTATTTATATGAAAAAAACCAAATTAACGTGACGGGGTGGTTTTGGCGCTCGCGTAAAAGTGTGGAGCCGCGGTGGGGAGTATATATACTCTCGCTATTTCTCCCCGGGGATGGTTTGGAAGTCTTGACACACGCCGCAATCTGCAGCTATGTGTGTTATTACATTATGATGTTTTGCGCTGCGGTGTGGGTGGGTGGGTGGGTGCCATAACGACCCGCAGCCCTCCCGTCGAGTGCTTTTCCGTCGCGGTCTCGTGTATATATATATATATAATACGCGTCTTAACCCGTTATAGTGCTGTAGCTGCAATATAATTGCTCGCGATATCGCAGTTTGGTTTTGTAATTTCGTCGAGTACCCCCGCGTGACCCTAGCGAGCGCAATTTTTTTTCCCGTTTTTACGTGCTCATGCTATGTATTATTATCTAATAATTAAGTCTGACAGCTGCTGTGGTTCTCGGCCGCCTTGTCGTGTACATATATATATATATATACACGTCCCGGCAGGCGCGGTTACTCGTACTCGGCGGAAACGAAAATCGAATCTTTTTACGTTAGTTTTGACGGGGCCGGTGCAAGTGTATCGTACGCGAGCTAATATGTATGGGCAAAAAATCAACAAAGGATAATAAACTATTATTAACCGTGATTATAGTGCACGATAACTTGGGGCCCACATTTAAAATCCAAATGTAGAATCCTCGACAACCGCTTTCGTCTGCTTATACCTAACCTCTGCACGGCGTGCAAATCTGGGGATGTGCCAAACCTTCGCAAGTCCGCACCGTTCAAGCTCCCCAGTCCATCGCTCTTCGGCTATTAGCCTAGCCCCCCCCCTCTTGTTCGTGACGAATGAAACCCTCACGGAGATTTAAAAATTGCAACAGTTGACCAACCAGCCAAATTGTACCTACTATAATAGACTTCACTCTAAACTGCAACACCATCCCTCGCCCTTTAGTGTCCCACCCATCAACATGTACTCTTCCCGACAACCCACCACGCCGCATCAAAAGGCGTTGGTGCCGCGACCTTTTAAGAAAATATTGATTTAAGATTTAAAGTAGGGTTCCATCGTTGGACACTATTTAAATATGCGTTT